CCCCCGAGCGGTGCAATCGCTCCAGTTGCGCGTCTCGGGGTGTGTGTGTGTGAGGAGTGTTGTTACCTGCCCGGGTGCGCGGTGGGGAAGATGCAAGGCGGCAGCCCTCGGCGCGCCGAGGAGGCGGGGGGGGGGGGAAATCAGCCCCGTTAAACTCGCGAGGGGAAACTTGGGTCCGAGAAAAGGTTGCGCCGGATGGGCAGGGTGGTCGGTCCCCGTTTTAGCCGCCGTGGGTAGCGCGGTCTTCCTGCACTGGGGCTGAGCCACCGGCATCGAAGGGCACAACTGGACCTTCAGTGCTTAAGTCTTTTGTGGGCAGGCGCAATCCTTGGCTCCCCCCTTTTATACAAAGGGCTCGGGGGTCCTCTTTGGGGTAAGCACAAGACCATGGATTTTATTCCAAGAGAAATAATATGATGGATTTTTTTTAAAAAAAAGATATACTGTTAAGCCTACTTTATGAATGATTTGGAAACTCGGTTCACACTTCGTGGGAATTGCCGACTAGCAATATCTTGCGAGAAGGAAGATGGAAGAGTCATTGTTAAGAAAGAAGCGAATGCAGATCATTGAAGTGATCCTGTATGAATGTCGGATCAGGAAAAAGTAGAAGGCATTATCCAACCCTTGTAAAAAGCTACAGGGGAGGGGGAGAGAAAGAAAAGAGAGCCTGTAGGCCTGTGCATGTTTATTTAAGGGTAGGCTCCATTGACTGCAGTGGAGCTTACTTCAGAGTAGACATTGATTGGATTGCACTATGTCTCCAAAAATTTGGGAAGGTTCATCGCTGAGGAAGCTAAAGATGTAGGATTTCACTGCATGCAGGATTCCTGCATCAGACTTGTGCACAGTAATTCAAGTTGTTTAAAGAGATTTGCACACGTGGTGTGTATGTGTGTGTGAGAGAGAGAGATAAAGAAAAGAATCCTCTGGAAAGAACATCAGAACTTTTCAAGGGAAAGGCAGGATGTATATTTATAGTGATACATTAATTTCCTCCCCCCCTTTTTTTTTTAAAGAGATGGCACTCTTTTATGTTGTGGTGATTGGAGGAGGATACCTGTACAATATAGCCTGCTCCTCTATACCTTTGCTGGCTACTGTGTTGTTTTAGTTACTGCTTTTGGAAAAAAACCCAGTAGGTTGGTTTTAAGACATATGGGAATATTAGCATATTGCCACAAGGGTTCCTATTAGCTCTTGTATGCCACTTCATGTAATTTTTATGAGTACTGCTACCACACGGAACATTACTATAGTTACAAGGGCTGAGCTTTGAACTGGATTAGTACATGTGTAATACTAGTTCATTCAATGCATAACATCCAGCAAGCCCTTTGCTTTCGCTACATACTGCTTGCCATTTTTCAGAAGTTCAATTATGATTTGTTTCATTTTGTTTTGTTTTCCAACAAGAATACAAAACCTTGTCATTCAGCACAGTGACTTCAAAAGTAAAAAAAAAAAATATCTAAGAATGGTGCTTAGGATGGAAGCCTTTGAAATCTGGTTCCCAGCATTTCAAAATTTAGTGGAGGGGAATTACTTGTGAATAAATAAACCCTACAGCATATATTGAAAATGTATTATGCTGCTAAATATACAGTGTTGCAGGATTTTTATTTTTTTTCTGAAACAGGAAGTGATCTCTGGGATAGTAGGCCTAAAGGTAAGGGAGGTGCATGAAGGAAGGAAGGTACATTTTTAGAAAATAATTTGCAATGAGTTTCAGATATAACTCTATCATACAGCAAGAGCTTAGTTTTCTGTCTGTATTTGCAGACTTTAGGAAGGGATATGTCATATATGCCATGAGAGTAGCCAACCCCATCAATTGAGGTTGGTACCCAGAGAGAGAAAGAGAGACTTAAGCCAAAGGAATTTGTTGTAGAACAAAGAAATTATTTTGGATATTTGACATACCTAGTTGCATAAACAGTTTTACTTTTCAACATTTATGGAGTTTATCAAGTTGTTACTGCTTATAACTGTGTAAGATGTAGAATGCCTAAAAACATGGCTGTTGTAAGCATTACATCTTGTGTCAGATTTGCCCTTTCTGAGGCAGAATAATTTCTCATTGAACTCAACATGAGTGCTTGAAAATGTCATGAGGAAGGTTCTCAAGATTCACATTGCGATTCTCGTGGCTTCTAATATTTGAAACAGCCCTGTCTGTAGGGAACAGTAAACTTCATGTGGAGATTTTTAACATCAGCAGCTCTCCTTTCCTCACCTGAGTGCACACCAGAGTGCCCTGTAACCAGGGTGGATTTGATGTAAATCAAATTGATTTAAATTGTGATTTAAGTTTTAAAATAATTATTTTTGATTATTTAAATAAGAAATCATGCTTTAAATTTAAACCATGATTTAAATCAATTCGATTTTAAAAATCATTGATTTTTTTTAAAATCCACCCTGCTTATAACTCCAGCCATGATTTAAATCAATTCGATTTTAAAAATCATTGATTTTTTTTTAAAATCCATCCTGCTTATAACTCCATGAAATCTGACAAGGTAGCTTTGTGGGTAAAAGATTTCAGGATGCTATCATGAGAAGATACCCAAGACCTGAAGAACAGATTTAGTTTTCTTTTGCTCCCCTGTTCATTAATGATTGATAGACCCATCTTTCAAAACCCATTTGATTGGGTTTTGGAAATAAATTGATTAATTTCCTTTTGTGAATCCCTGTCTCATTGTTGATAATGAGGTAACATTAAGTGAAATGGGAGAAGATAATGGGCAACAGCCAGCATATTGGCGAGAGTACCTAAAAAGAAAGTCTTAGTTGCTTTTATGAAATGGCAAAGCAGTTTGTGACAATGGATATATCTACTTGTGTGAGCTTTGGAACTATAACTTCAGTTTATTACTACCAAAAACTAACATTCCAAACTGTGGAAATAAAGGGCTATACTGGGGAAAGATGCACCAGACTCTTACATGAATATGGAGTGCATGCAGAAATGCTGGGAACAATGTATGTCTTATTTGCCATAATCTCAGCATCCCTGGAATATCTTATATGTGTGGTTGGTTTATTCATCTGCCCTCTCAGAGTACCAGTGTTCTATGAATAGATAACATAATGTGCACAAAGAAGGGTAAGCAGACACTTTCATAGACTGAAGAAGTGGGTTTTGTTGGAAGTGGATTTTGATCCAAAAAAACTCACACTGAAACAAATGTGTTCGTTTTAAAGTACCGCAATCTTTGATCCTTGCTTTTGAAATTTTTTTCTTTTATTTTTGCTGCTAACTCTTATTTTTAAGACTCCATTAGCTGTTTACAAAAACATATTGTATTTGTTTCAGATTTGCAACCAACATAATGTTGGCTCTCCGAATTTTGGACAAGTATTATACAAAATGGCACAGGTGCAAGTTAACCTGGACCATGACATACCTCTGCTACTCCTTCCACCCTACTGGGCTAAAACCATTGTGGGATTTCTTTCCATCATCTGCTTTGTGAACAGCTATGATGGGGATTTTGTCTTTGATGACTCTGAAGCTATCATCAATAACAAGGTTAGTGCCTTTTTATTTTGGATCTTGGCTAATTACTAATCATCTGAGATGAGTAACAATCTGTTCTAGCAACCAGGCTGAGGATATTTAGTTGGAGATACAGGCTTTTAATTGGCTACCTTAATCAATGGGTTGAAAACCTTTTTAATTGACTACGAAACTGTCCTAGTTGATGATTAGTCTCATGTGGAACAGAACTGAGATTTAGTAAAGCCTTTGCTTGTGAAACTATTATTGGAGACACATACACATAAACCAGAGTTGTTCACAGCTTCCTGCTTCTTGCATCATGTGCGGAAGAGCTGGACTGCACTGTGACCTCAAGCAGTTGACAATCTTCTTTAAGCAATTACTGGCCAATTCAGTTAAATTCTAAAAGCTAGGAACAGACACTAAGAGCAAACCTCCAATAATCTTATCATGCATTTCCATACATCGTTAGTGGCTATAAGGCAAAATCACAAATAAGCTTTGCTTTTTGTAAAGGAAAGATAAATTCATTTGTTTTATTCATTAGTCACGCCATGTGACACTAATTCTAGCTTTTTGGTGATACTTCACACAATGCTAGAATCAGGAGTAAGCAGTGTTGAACAAAGCTTGAGGCCCACACTCATGCAGGGACACACAATTAATCCCTGGCCCCTCTTCTCTCTGTTTCTCCTTGCCCCCTTGCTGTCACTGCCTGTTTACAGGCCCTTTCTGAACATGCAAGCAGTGGCAGGTGTGAGGAGATGGAGCAGCACTCTTGATGGACCTTTTACTTTCTCTTTGAATTTAAAAGCAGTCAAATGAGCAACAGCAACAATGGCAAGAGACAGGTGGGCCCAACCCACTGCACCATTCTTCCTGAAGTCCTAGCAAAACCTGGCCATCTGTCACTGCCTGTTTACAGGCCCTTTCTGAACATGCAAGCAGTGGCAGGTGTGAGGAGATGGAGCAGCACTCTTGATGGACCTTTTACTTTCTCTTTGAATTTAAGAGCAGTCAAATGAGCAACAGCAACAATGGCAAGAGACAGGTGGGCCCAATCCACTGCACCATTCTTCCTGAAGTCCGAGCAAAACCTGGCCATCTGGTCTCCCAGCATTCGAAAGGGTTAAACCTTCCCTTGTTAATGCTCTTTAAAATGCTGGGGTTTTATATACAGTCATCATGACTAGTAGCTATAGATAGACGTACACCATGAATTATCCATTCTTGCCCCATACTTCCACCTGTCAGTGCATTCACTTGAAATCCTGCAGTGCTCTTTGCTGAGCAAAGCCTGTTATTCTTGCGATATCACTGCCTCACCCTTTCTCAGCATCAGTAGAATGCAGAGTTCAAATTGTGTCTTGAATTTGAATGGAGAGCCCTAGTTGCAAATCTCCTTTTAGCTATGATGTTTATTTCGGTAGATTTGAACAGATCTCCATCTCTCAGCTTAAACTACCTGACACCGCTGTTGTGACAGTACAAGGGAACAACTTCCCCATTATGCTTCATGAACAAAGAATGATGTAGAGCAGAGGTCCCCAACCCCCCTGTCTGCAGCCCAGTGCCAGTCTGTGGCCTGAGCTGGACCGGGCCCCAGAGAGAGACCTCCCCCCCCCGGATGCACTCCCCCCAACCTGTTTATGTGTGTGCCTGCACAAGTGCTGCGCTGCCCTTTAAGCATGCACATGAGTGTGCATGCGCCTGCACAAGCTCTCTGCCACCCTTCGCGGATGTGCATGAGGGTGCGCAACTGCATGAGTGCTGCACTACTCTTCACACCTGCGCACAAGTGCACGCATGCTCCTTTGTGCATGCGCACGAGCGCAGGGGGTGCCTCGCCTTCCCCAGCCGGTCTGCAGGGCTAAAAAGGATGGGAACTGCTGAGGTTGGGAACTGCTGATGTAGAGCATACATTTAAAAGTGTTGCTTTTCATGCAGAAGGTCTCTGTTGCAGAAGGGTGTTTTTCCTCATTCTTTTCCTTCAGCATTTCACACAGGTGGCTTTTGCATTTCTCTGAACAATATTGACATGCCCTTCCACAGTCCATTCAACTGACCTCTTCCTCTTTCCATGCACATTTTCTCCACACATCCCAGTACTTACCTCTGAAGCAGACTAATGTTAAATAGATCTGTTCTCTCTTTCTCAAACACACCTTAACATTCTGGTTTTGCTCAGGATTCATTGAATAAAATCACTTGTGTACAGATTTTTATACTTCCTCCATTTGAAAATGGAGAACTATCTGCTTTAAAATGTCGTCCAGTATCCTTCTTGAAAGTGAATAGCAGGGTCCCCCCCCCCCCCCATGGAAGTGCTTGGTTGGATCTGAACTGAGGCATACTGAGCGGAGACCCACTGATATAAATGGCAGTTAAGTTAGTTATGAATAACTTCTACTGGCTACAGTGGGTTTATACTAAATATGACTATGTTTAAAGCCAATACCTTGTATTTTTTTGTCAATATTAACTCAGTTTTAGAAAAAACAGAATTTGTGTCTTGCCAGTTGACAGGAAAAGAGCTGGTAATCTTGGCCTTTTTGAAGAGTATCACACCGTTTGAGTTTCCTCTGTGGAATCTGTGGCAGGTGAATGCATGTTGTAGATCTAGTGATTTATGTCTAGGCAAATGTAGGATTTTACTCTGTGGTTCTTTTATGAAAGTTATATACTTCCTTCTTTTCAGTTCTAATGGAACATAACTCTTCCAGTTGGTCCTAGGCCTATTGATTGATTGATTGTGTTTATATCCCGCTTATTTATTTATTTATTTTATTTCTATCCCGCCTATCTGGTCATACTAGACCACTCTAGGCGGCTTACAATCAAACCAACAATAAAATTTTAAATTTTTTTTAAAAAACATTACAGGTAAACAAAGATAAAAATCAAAGAAAGTATAAAAAGAAAAAGATCGTCGAACGACCACTCTAGGCGGCTTCCAACATATATAACAACATATAAAATATATAAAAAAATTAGACAAGTTATTCAAGATGTATAAAGAGAGGAAAAAGAAAAAAATATAGGAAGAAAAAGAAAATCAAGTATTAACTGCGTAAACATCCAGATTTTCAGTTGGTTTTTAAAGATGCCCAGTGAAGGGGCCGCACGAATCTCCAGAGGAATGTTATTCCAGAGTCGAGGAGCTATCGCCGAGAAGGCCCGGTTTCTAGTTTTTTCCTTCCGGGCCTCCCTCAGCATCAGGCTCCTCAGCCTCACCTCCTGACTTGTTCGGATGATACGGGTAGATTTTGGTGGGAGTATTGGAATACGGAGCAGTCTTACTGAATTTTATTGGTGATCAAGACAACCTTCTAGATATGTTTTTGCCATTAAAAATCGCTCTATGTTTTGTTGTGTTTTAAATTTGTATATAGGAAGGATTTGAGTTTTGTATGTTTTTAAAAGGCAACCATTTTAGTCAGAGTGTATGTCTCTTACATGGGTTAATAAAAATTGGTCCTTCTTGAATTTTAACACCATGATGCATAAAATCAAACACTTTATAGATTCTAAATCAACAGAGGAACATACATATATGTGATTGTGCTAATGAATATATGCTGTATAGAGTTGAGAAGAAATTGCATCCTTTTTTCCTTCTTGCTACAGCTCTGTAGTATGTACTATATTTTGCTTCTTGAGAATACCCTTGTGACTTGTTTACTTTGAATCGGGGCTGATTCAGACAATCATTTCTAGGGCATATGTTCTGACTGTTGTGATTATGTGTAAAATTTCTCAGCCCAGATTGAATGAGAAGGTAGTGCAGCTGTCATTTCTGTACTCCGCAATGGGCCATATGTCAAATTACTATCTCACTGCAAAGGCTTCTGACAAAATGATTTGATGCCTGTTCACCCAGAAGTAAATCCCTGCTGCGTTCAGTGGAAGCGTCCACAAACGGTGGCTGGGTTTGGTAGCAAGCCACTGTTTTCTAATTCCTCACCTCATATCTAAAATCCAATCCTTCCACAATAACAGTGGCAAATAATATTGAACAGAAATTGGACCTTATAGTTAAAATTGTGGACCACGTCTTCACTTGTGAGGACTTGCTTGTTCAGAAAATTTATGTTGTACAATGTGAACTTTTTTATAAAACCTATGCATTTACTGCTAATAAAGAGGGCGTTATCGTGCACAGGACCAATGGTATGTAGAGATAGGCGGTTCGTGCTGGGTCGGTTTTTTGCTAGACAGGTATTCAGTGGTGCCCTGGAGGAGGCAGAGCCAGGAAGCCTCCTTTTTTTATTCACTTGTTTGGCTGAAAAATGAACCAGCATGAACCTGCTGAACCGGCGGTTTGTGCCCATCTCTAATGGCATGTACAGTATTCCAGTGAGTTCAAGGGTATCTTAAAGACTAATTAGTTTTTTGGTTGCCTAAGGGTAGCTTATGATGATTCTATCTCTAGTTCCAAATACCTCAGATATCACTGCTGGGAAGGAGTCTTAGGTCATCTACTGGCAGTAAGCGGCAAATAACAAATTCCCTGGCTGCTGGGTTGGGAAAAGCTTCGTTGTGACCAGCCAGGTGCCCATGCTCATTTCAGCACTTTGTATACCAAACAAAAGCAGACAACTAAATACTTGTTGATGCTGCCCTGATTGCATCTGTTTGTGTTTCATGGCTGAATCCCCGGAGAGAGTTTGGTGGTGTGAGTTGGCGGTACTGGGCTTGAAGGGCATGTAGTCGGAGGAACCTGACTTAGTATGAGAGAGCTTCCCATTTTTCTTTGTTCCTGTCGTATTTACTGTACTTGTGAACTACCACTCTCAGGGAAAACTTAGCTACAGCCCTGTGTATGCCTTGACTGGGAGTACGTCCAGTTAAACATTACATAGTTTTTGGATGTCTGGGATGTGAAGACAGAGCAAGGAGATATCTAAATAGTAAAGCATCTATCCTCAGTGTACCCATATTTAATCATTTCAGTTGTTCACACAGAAATGAGCAGAAGTTTTAATGACCCAGTTGCTGAGAGCTTGCCTGCCTCCCACCTGCTCCACAGG